ATTTCTTTAGGGCAAATGGCCAGGAATTGTGTTGGTCCAGTGGTTAGTGTATGTGGAATCCCCATGTTAAATTTCCTTTTCCCTTATAGTCATTCCTCCTCTGTGTGTATGACATTCAATCACTGACTTACTGAGGCCAACCATTTGAGGAGCCGATCTTTTTTTTTTCATTGATCATCAGCCTTCATTTTTTTCTCCTGTCTCTCATACAACCTGGTTTGCATGATCCATCTTTTTTTTTTTTTGTCAGTAGTGGGGCTTGAACTATGGGCCTGGGCACTATCCCTCAGCTCTTCAGCTCAAGGCTAGCACTCTACCACATGAGCCACAGCACCACTTCTGGTTTTCTGGTGTTTTATTGGAGATAAGAATCTTATGGACTTTCCTGCTTGGGTTGGCTTTGAACCACGATCCTCAGATCTCAGCCTCCTGAGTAGGTAGGATTATAGGCGTGAGCCACCGGCCTGGCTGGTCCATCATTTATATTTATAATATAGTGGGGCACTAGTGGCTCATGTCTATAATCCTGGCTACATCTGAGGACTGTGGTTCCAAGCCAACCTGGGCAGGAAAGTCCATGAGACTCTTACCCCAAAATCCAGAAATGGAGTTGTGGCTCAAGTTGTAGGGCACTAGCCTTAAGCAAAAAATGCTCAGGCCCTGAGTTCAAGCCCAGGATCCATACACACAGACACACAGACACACAGACACACACACACTCTATATATTATAGGTAATATATATTATACTATATGTAATAGTAATGCTATATTTTTATAGCAATGCTAGTAGGGTAAACTGAGTGCAGAAAACTGTGCTATACTTTTGTAACTTTTTTCATTTCTCTTCCCTTTCTTTTTCCTCCTACCCCCACTTCTTCCTTCCATTTTTGCAGTACTGAAGATAGTACTTAGGACCTTTTGCTTAAAAGGAAAGTGCTGTGCTACTGAACCATGCCCTTAATCCTTTTATGTTTTTTAGTTTTTCAACTTTCCTGGACTGCCCTTGAACTGTGATTCTTCTACCCCTGCTTCTCACTTAGGGGGGATTACAGGCAGGTACCACCATGCCCAGCCTCTTGCAATTCTATAAACCTACAACTATTCTAAAATAAGAGTGTATTAAACATTAAAGCACAAACCCCACATCTCCCTGACTCAGGCCCTTCTCCAGCTTCTTTTCCCTGCTTCCTTTCACAGGGCAACTTCTTGAAGGAGTATGTATTGCTATTGCTACTGTCTCCCCATTCCAGCCAGCTAATTCCTTCCTCAGTATACTCCAAACTACTGTCTTCAACTCCTGACTAAAACTGCTATTGTTAAGGTCAATGATGATGTTCATGTTAGCCAATCCCTGAGTCCATTTTCTCTCCTTCAGCCCAGTGTGTGTCCTTGGCTTTGGAATACTCTATACTTCTTGGCTGCCTCCTGTTTATTGGCAGCTCCTGCTGAGCTGTGTTGCTGGCTCCTTTCCTTCTGTGTAACTTCTGTTGATACTTAGGTGGTCCCAGGCTCTACTCTCTTTTGTCTAGACTCTTGTCCCATGGGCCTATTTCATCCCATTACATTGATTTAAATATAATTAATCTGCCATCCATTCCCAAGCATGTATCTCTAGACTTAGCCTCAAGACAGAGGACTATTTTCGTGCTCTGCATAGAGACAATCAGGCCCAGGCTTTCTGGCCCAAGTTTACACAGCTTGAAGCACAGCCCTGGGATATGAAACAGTTCTGATGCAAGGCCTTTGCTTTGAGCCACCAGACCACCCTCCTGATCTCTACCTCTGCCCTAGCTCTATCCTGCTCCTCACCCCCAGGTCTGCTGTATGTGTTGTAATATTCTGACTTCATGCTTGCCTCCCTTTCATCCACTCTGGAATGACTTCTTTACTTCCCTTGGCTTTTAATCCTCTTCTGCTCCAGCCCTGGTGAGGAGCTTCTGATGGCTGATATCCCCTGGCTTCCTCCGCACTTCCCAGGGCTGGCATCCATCCATCCATCACATTACACCTGGTGCTCACTTTGCTTCAGTTATCTCACTTTGTGAACCCCAAATCAGGTGTGGGGGGAGATCCAAGTACAAGTACAGGTCTGGGAACCTGTTAGACTTTTGAAGTGCAAAATCTAACACAGGGTCTGCTGGAAAGATATGGGTCATGGACCTCTTTATCATCAACATCCACTCACACGGCAGGCTGAGTTATCTTGGATGGCTTAGGTTTTGTTTTCTGTACTAGCTTTTGGAGAGAGGGATTGCAACTTCGCTGAATGTTTCTCATTTTAAATTAGGTGGGTTGAGGTAGCACTTCCAAACTCTCCTAGATCCTGGGGGGCCAAGGAGAGTTCAGACTAAAAGAGAAAGAATTCATCTAGACTTTACCGAGGCCACGGCGAGGCCAAATAGTTCCTACAGAGGTCACTGAGTTCAAAGGAATATTTTTAAGAAATAGGAGTGACACTTCACGTGTGGTCATTTTAGAGGAACTGAAAGTGCCCTGTGGGAAGGCAGGAGGAAGAGGCTGGAGAGCCGTGAAGCAGTGCTGGGAAAGAGCCATGTGTGGGAGGTCTGTGTGCCAGTGGAGAGACTGAGAACTGACCCCAGGGGCAAAAACCACTGGCTTCTATCACAACATGTGAGTTCCCGTTCCCTATGACTTTGACCTAGGCTCTGTCCCCAGCCTGCCGCTCAATCACTGTGTGTCTTCAGACAAGTCATTTGCTTTTCCTGGACATCCTCTGTAAAATAAGGAAGCTGAAAACTTGTGTGATGGGGTGGGGCTGCAAGTCTTTCTAGGTGCCTTTTAAAAACTGAGTTGATTTAGGTTAATATACCAACGGTCAGTAAGACATACTGACCCTAGACATCTCTTCCTGGAAAAACAAACAAACAAGCAAACAGGTTAACTGAACCATTCGTGTACAACCTTCTGATGAAAACCACAAAAGCAGAGCACAGGCAGAGCACAAAAGAGGAAGGCTGTGGATTGTGTAGGATCTGACTCTGTATTGCATCTCTAGAAAAACCACCCTTCGTTTCCATCACCAGTTGAATTACAGTTCATCAGCGACTGACCATGCTGTGTGTGGATGATGGTGCCCTGAATAGATCAGAAGGGACAGGGCTAGTCTTTCTCCATTGGGTGGGAGCTTCCTGGTGTTCCAGTCTTGGGTCTGAGTCTTCCCTCCAGAGAGATTTCTGATCCAGAGGCCCTCAGATAGGGCAGTGCTGAGGCATCCCACCCCAGTGGCATTTGTCTGCCTATTGAGAGCAGAAAAGGCTAAATGCTAACTGAGAAGGACCCTTGCTTTTTCACACACTGCTGGACAGGCATATACTCATTCCTAACATAGGAATAACAAATATCAAATAGGAAGCATTGAAGCCAGAGTCTTCAGTGGATTGAAATAAAATATGAAGTAGTGGTGGCTGGTGTGATATGTCTCCTGCCTGAGTACTTTGGGGGAGTGAAGGAAAAGCTCCTTCAGTCCAACAACAACAATGGCTTCTTTGTGCTCCTCTAACCCAGTGCTTGCTTGGAAGTAAGAGGACCAGGAACTTCCTCCTACCTGCAGGCACTTTGGATGATAATTATAGCCTTGGGTGTGGTTAAGGCCAGATACTCTGCCCCAGAACATTGTTAGCGACCCCCCCCCCAGGCCCTCCAAAGTTGTTAGGGGCTAGGGTAACTCCCTTAAAGGTTTGAGTCCTGAACTTGCCAATGTGACGCCATTCTGCTCTTCAAAGGGGGAACTGAGGGTGAAATGTCTAACTCATAGAAGAGCTTCCAAAAAGAACAGGTAACATTTTCAGGGAGTCTAAGATGTCAGGCAAAGGTAGGTGGAAATGTAGCAGAACCCCAAAAATCCAACCTGGGCAGGTACCAGTGGCTCATGCCTGTAACCCTAGCCACTCATGAGGTTGAGATCTGAGGATCACCGCTTGAAGCCAACTGGGACATACAAGTCCATGAGATTCTTACCTTCATTAATCATGAAGAATCCAGAAGTGGTGCTGTGGCTCAAGTGGTAGAGTATTTAGCCTAGAGCAAAAATGCTTAGGAATTTCAAGCCCCAGGACCAGCACACACAGACACAAAAATACAACCTGAAAGTTTAAGTACAATATTGGGGAAAAGATAAGAACAGTAGACATAAAAACGGAAAGGAGGCTTAAAGGTTTAGTTAATAGAGACAAGAAGAATTTTCTGTTTGAAAATGCAAACAGCCATATCATAAATATAACTAAGCAGATGTAGGGTGTTATAGAAGAAAAACACTAGCCAAGATCAGATTCCATTTCCATTTCTCCTATAAACAAGCTTCAAGTCACTCTGAGTCTTGCTTTCATTGTAACCCCCAGTGCCCACAGCTAACAAGGTACCATAAAACCATAGGATATGGCCCAAGGAGACCTCAGTGTGAGCAGAGGTAGTGCTGGTTCTCCCACTTTAACCCACCCCCTACCAGATTACAGCTGGGAGACTCTTAAGAGTGAGACTTAGGTAGTTGCATTTGAAATCTGGGGCCTATCAGGCCCATGCCCAGTGCTGGGCTTTGTTTCTGGATGAGATTAATTTTGCTCTCCCCATCTACAATCTATCCAAGGAAGGCATAGATCGAATCAGGACACCCCCAAACTGACCACCAGAGCCCAGTCTAACTTTTCTTTTCTCTTGTAAAACTCTAGAGATCAGCATGGCTCTCAAATCACTCTTGGTGTTTTAATAAGGTAGAAGCCATGACTTCCTTCCTTGGATTCCTTCCAGCATACAAAGAAAGGGCAGATACCAAGATACCTCAAGAAATATGGAAGATACAGTAGTATATAGCTTTTGGAGTAAAAGCAGTTGCCAAATATTAGTAATACTCTTTCTTTCCTTCACCAGTCAGTTGTCTGGTTAAGGTCAGTGCCAGTGTTCATTACCTGCAAAGTATTTAATAAATACTTCACTTTCCATTGGGTGTGATCAACCACAGGAAACAAGGGCCACCAGCAGCAATAAGATCAGAATACTTTAATAAGATATCAGTGTCAAAATACATTTCCTTATAAAGTTAAGCTTCCATTCAGTTATAATGTCAGTAGGAATTCAACAATATAATAATGTTCATGAAATTGTTACATTGACAGGTAAGGTTAATATGAAGCTTGGAAAACTTTTAGAGTGTTGTTTTTTAAAGTAAAACTGCAAGGGTAAAATGCCCTTAATGCTGAGGCAACATACACAGGAAATCAAATACCAGCATTTACATGTCAGTAACCCTTCAAGTTCTGCTGCTGTGTGCCAGCCGAACTGTGCTGCCCAAGGATGACTCAGGCAACACAGTTCCTAGGTAATTTTACTCCTATAACTCTGATTGTTTTTAAAGTTTGTTTTTGGTTTGGGCAGTAAGGCCCTCTGGGCTTACCGAATTCTAGGCCTTGAGTGCTTTGTGTGTGTCTGTGTGTGTGTTTAGAAACTTCATACTATACTCATAACAGAAAATCTTCATGTTGATTGGTATCTAAAAACTAAAAGGTGTCATCCCTCTTCTCCAGTGAGTTACAAAGTGCTCTGGGAACACTATTTTCAGTGCTTCTTACCTATTCCTGTCACTTCACATGACAGAGACCTCAGCCAGGTCCTGAGGCTAGGAGCCCAATCCTCCTTGGAGGTCTGCCTGCTGCTGGCCAGCAGGGGGTGCTGAACCTCAGCCTTCAGAGTCCTCTTTCTGAGGGTACTCTGCCTGCAGTTTGAGGGGGCACCCAGGGCTGGGTGCCCTGGATTTGGCACCCTCTCTCAGTCTAGCTCCAGGATTGTGAGCTAGGAGGACAAGAATGGGTCCATTGTATCATTTCTGAAGCCTCTCTTGCTTCCACGAATTCCCATCAAAACCATTTCATGGTAGTTCTGGAAATATCTGAATGTGCCATATGTGAGACCACGAGAGTCACATAGCTCAGTGCACTTGAAGGGCTAGCAAGACAATCTGAAGAAAAGTTAAAGCACGTCCTCTCCCTTAGCATTTGTCCCACCCCAGCCCCAACGTGCCATCACACCCTCTTGGCAGTAATAATAATAATACATACATACACACATAATACACAGAGAACGCGAGGAGAAGATAGCTCACAAAGCTCCCACTTAATGATTCCACGTTTTGGATTGTTTGTCACACCTATGGCATATCACAAAAGTAGAAAGCCAACAGAGAGAGAAAGAGACAGATCTTTCATCATGTTAGTACAGGATTGTGGGAGTATTGTACAAATCTGCAGTATCAGCAACACCAAGAAAAAAAATAAAATTAACAGCTTAAAAAAAGATTACTTAAAGTGATTGTGTGAGCAGGATTCCATTCCCATTTCTAAGTTTTTAGAATATTACAAAGTACCCATATATATGATAAACACTTAACCCAGATATAAATTTTCCTTAAAAAATCAGTATGCTTTTGAATAATAATAATAATAATAAATCCACCAGCCATTGGGTGGTATAGGGGAAACCACCAAATAGTTCAGAGAAAGCCACACCGTGCAACTTTTCACAGGTAACTGCATACCCAAGACTTCACCCTTCACAATGCTTTTCTCCCCAAAAGTCCTATCAAAATTAGAGCAAAGAGTTGGCCTAAATAAAGACACTGAGGTTCACAATATGCTGATTAGTTTTTTTTTCTTTTAAAAAAGAGAAAGGCTCTGAAAGGGAGACGCCACCAATCAAGCTGGGACAGCAAAATCCTTTTTGTTTCTCTTTGGCAACAACAATTCCAAAAACTTTAGTACAATGAAGCCAAAGCTTTCTCTACAGGAGAGCCAACATCCACCGCCACACTTGTTAATATGGAGGCTAGGTGTGTTAGAGATCTCTGGGCAACATAAATTAGAAATTATTGAAGGTGCGGAGGGAAAAATTATTGTCAAATTGAAGAACATCTTCATTGACAGCAAAATGGAGCAGTAAAACAATGATGTATTTTTAAAAGTAAGGGTAATAAAATGAGCATCTCAGAAAAAAAAGGCCACTGCTGGGTGACCTGGGCAAATCAGCCAGGTAAGTACATCTTGTAAGAAGTGTGCTGGTGTTAGAAATACCTAGTTGCAAAAATAGATGTAGAGTGAAGCTGGCAGGACGGCATTGGCAGGGCGTGCTGGGTGAAGGCCCTGGCTCAGGTGGCCTGGTCCAGGGCTCTGAGGAGATCCCCTCCTTGCAGGAGTGTGGAGCTGCCGGGCACGGGGACATTCACCTCACAGTCATATCTGGTCAGTTCAGGCAGTAGGTAGGGCTCAAACGAAGGACCCAGCAGTCGGCTTGCTATACCTGCAAGAAGGGTTGTTGCCATACTTTAAATATCTGTATTACATACTAGAACACTAGAAACCAGCAGGATGAAGAGGGTGCACTTAGAAAGGCATTTCAGGTTTTCAGGTCAGGGGTTCTGGATGGGGTAGTGTGTGTGTGTGTGTGTGTGTGCACCTGTGTGTGCGTGCATGCATACACCAGAACTGAGGCTTGAACCTAGGGCCTAGGTGCTGGCTGTTAGCATTTTCTGTTTAAGGCCAGTACTCTGCCACTTGAACCATAACTCCACTTCTGACTATTTGCTAGTTAATTGGAAATAAGAGTCCCGTGGACATTTCTGCCCGCGCTGGTTTCTAATCATAATCCTCTGATCTCTGCCTGCTGAGTAGCTAGGATTATAGGTGGGAGTCATATCACCAGCTCCTTGCTTTGGATGAGATAATCTTAATTTCCCTGTGTTCCTTCAATGCTGTCTTTTCCATGACCTACTCCCAGCTTGGGGGACAGGCTCAACAAAGGACATGTCTCAGAAATGCTAACATCCAAGGAAGCAGGACAGACAGGCAGGGCTCTGAGATGGGAGAGGCTGGGTAGAAAGGCCCTCACAAAGCATCCTGCCTTCAGAGGATGAAGCTTCAGAAAGAGCTAGTTAACCCCAGGGGTGCCAGTCCAAGGCCACTGTGTGTTACAGTAAGGACTTCTGGAGGGAATTTAGAACTACCTGTAGTCTGTGCACATGTATACCACAGAATACACATGTGCACATGTGTCTAAGATTTAAGAGACTGAAACTGTCCTTTCACCACGCTTCTTTTTACCCCTGGACCATTCTCAGCTGAGTAGGAGGATAAAGGGGAAACTCCAAGAGGCACCCAGGCCACCCCCGGAAGTGGGGCTCAGTATTGGAAAGCAGCTCTTCATGCTGCTTTTCAGGGTGAACTGCTTTCTCTTCCTTGGGCATATCTACAAAAACTCATCCATGGTGAGCCTTTTCTTCCTGGTCTTCTTGGGGTTCATGCCTGCTTGCCCCATTTGCTTGTACTCCTATGGATGGAATGTTAGGATGGTATCAACAGATACCAAGGCTTACTATGCCTTGTTCATTTCTGACATAAGAGGGAAAATGACTGGAGTTGAAAAGATGGCTTTCCTGTGATTTCAGTATTTGAGGAAATCTGTGGGATTCATGCAAGGAGAACAATGCTAGCTACCACCCACTGTAGATATCTGTCACCAGTACCCCAACTTGATGCAAAGCTTTCCTTTAAACTTCTTGGTTTGGCTAGACAAAAAACCATGCCTGAAACCAGGCTCATGCCTGAAATCTTACTTATCTCAATAAAGCACAAAAAAGGCCTGAAATGGAGCGGTGGCTCAAGTGGTAGACCACCAGCGTTGAGCAAAAAAGCAGAGTGCCCAGGTCCTGAGTTCAAGCCCTAGTACCAGTGCCCATAAAAATTTCCTGGTTTTGGCACGATCCCATTAGTGAAGAGCAGAGCTGGAATTGAAGTCCAGAGTCCAGGGGTTCTATTGCCTGGGTTTTGAGCACAAAACTGTAATTTTCCCCAAACTATACCATTGAGGACAAAAACCTGATATGTTTTCCCACAACCACAAATTATGCTCATGCCAAAGAGAAACCTTTTCATGAAGACATGGATATTTCAGCTGAGCCTTCTAGACTGGCTTTCTACCGAGCCCCAGGTCACCATCCTGGCAATGTGCCCTCTATGCATGTGTTCAACTCCTGCCCAAACAGCACAAAGCCCTGGTGTGCAGGGAGCTTTAGCAATGTGGCAATGTGACTGGACTCTGCAACTCTTAGGTAGCAAGAACCCTGGAGGTGACATGCTCTCGGAAGGTTCTTTCTATAGCTCTGCAGTCAGATGACCCTCCACCCCCCACTGCAATACTTCTAGGGAGGGAGACACTGCTCTCTCCATGTAACTGCTGTTCTAAGGCAGCAAGCGTGTCCTGTGCTGAGCCAAGATTTGCCACCCTGCAATGTCTCCCTCCATGCCAACTCTGAAATTCTTCCCACTTTTTTTGGTCAGTCCTGGGGCTTGAACCCAGGGCATGGGTGCTGTCTCTGAGCTTCTTTTGCTCAAGGGTAGCACTCTACCACTTGAGCCAGTGCCACTTCCAGCTTTTTCTGAGTAGTTTATTGGAGATAAGACTTTAACAAACTTTCCTGCCCAGCCTGGTTTTGAAGTGAAATCCTTGGATCTCAGCCACCTGAGTAGCTAGGATTACAGGTGTTAGCCACAGGAGCCCATCTCTTTCCCCTTCTTAACTCTCTCTCTTCTTCAACAGTCCCTCACATATCATAGTTGTGAACCTTTCACTGCCATGCCCTTCTTTTTTCTCAGCCTTCAGGATGCAGAACAAATTGGTATTCCCAGGTAGCTGAAACAGTCTCCAGCCCCCTGAAGTCTGGATTCTTTCTTTCAGCTACTCTAGTCCAACCTAGGAGGGCCTGGTCCTTCCCTATACCTGACACTGTGCAGCTCCGGGAAGAAAGGAGAGGTGGGCTTAGTGCTGGAGACACCAGGCCTATGTGGGTGGTAGATTCCCATAGGAAGTACCTGCCTTGGTGCCTGGGTACTGGGCAGGGACTCTATGTGGACAATAGGGTTAAGTCCCTGGAGTTTTTCCAAATGCTGAGCAGCTAGCTATGTGAGGAGCAACCTGCCAATCACCCCCACCCCACTGAACCCTGGGATATGTGCCAGCTCCTGCGCACCCACCTGACACCTTGTGAGCTGATGGTGGCGGGTTGTAGTCTTGGTACTGGGAGGCGTAGCACTGTGGAGGGAAGCCATTTTTGGCGTTCTCCCCAGAGTTCAGGGCTGATGGTGGCTGTGGTGGTGGCAGATGCCGTAGAGGCTGGCCCAGACCTCGCATGGGGTTTTGGATGAATTCATCTGGAAGATCAAGGCCTGAGCATGAGCATGAGGTCATCTGGGTTCATGAAGCCCCCAGTATCCCCTTTCCCTTTGTAGAAGGCATATGGGGCCTGGAACCACAGAACCCAGAGCTCTCCAATGATGTTGACACTGGCTTCTTCTAAAGTGACTCAGAAAGCCAGTGAATAGTCAGGCTGTACCACGAGTCCCCCAGCCCACCACCAGACCCCTGGGTCCAGGTCTACTCACCAGGGGGCACATTTTCACTCAGAAGCTTGTCAGGCATCAAAGGGCAGGTCCCTCCTCGGAAGCTCTTCATGCGTTTCCACATCAGATGTGCACTGCTGTTACTGCCTGGAGGATCCCCCTGCATGTGTGAAGGGAAGATGTAGACAGAGGGTTAGTGGCTCATCAAGTGGCCCCTGTCTACCCTCTTGCTCTCTTCTGAGTACCAGCTGAGATGTCCTTAAACGTAACTCAGCCTAGTGAGCTCTCACCTGGGAAGCCTGAAAGATGCAGTATATATATTTCCCATATGCATATCTGCCCCACCTCCCCCCAGCCTGCCCCTTGTGAACTCACCCCACTCATGTCCTGGAAGGCCTGCTCCTCATACTCCAGCTGCCGTTTCAGCTTCAGTTTGTTGGATAGGGCTATCATGGCTGGACTCATCACATCTGGGCCCCGGGACCCAAAGTCTTTTGCAGATCTGCCATGCCAAGAGAGTGATGTGAGGGAGTCTGGAGGGCCTAGTTGCCTGGGGCCTTCACCTGGATCCAACATGCATGCCCAGGGCATCTGAAGGCTGATCTGTATCTTAGTTTCCTCTACCTGAACAGATGCTGAGTTGCTCAGCACCTGTCTTTCCTCCTCATGCTCATCTCAACATGCCCATGCAGGCCACAGGCCTGCCCTCACATGTGTCTGTCTGATCTGTAGGAGAGTTTCTTTTATCCAGCTCTCTGCTCCTCAGCTCTGACCGAACTGATCTGCCTGGAAGATACTAACAGCAGACAGGAAAGGGAAAGGAATCTGGCACCAAGTCCTCAGAGGCCATTTCAGTGGGAGTACTGGATAGGAAGGAGTGAGGCGTGTGTCTTCTCATAGTTTTCAACTAGAGTTTCCTAAGATCTGAGAAAACAGTCACAAAAATAATTGTCTGTATTCTGTGGTGCAGGTTAAGAAAGGCCTGAAGAAAGACAAAACCCTCATGGCTCTCAGCAAGCAGCTCCTCTCCCTGCCTGTGCTCAGTCTCTCATGATCTCCTCCAGCCTCAAAGATGCTCATCCTATTCAAAGCCAAGCTCTCAGAGTTCAGAGGTAGCATGGACCACGAGCTACAGTGAAATGGGAGGGGGAAGGGGGCTGGGACTGGAGCCTCCCTGGAATGGGTTTCTATTGGTCCTCATTCCACCCAACACAATCTTTGCTGATACAGCCAAACATTGGCCACTCACCTCATTTTGAGCATGGAGACATTGGGCAAGGCAATGGGGGGCCCCAACTGCGATGGCCCCAATGGTGGTGTCCCCAAGGGCTCGGCATGCTGATCCTCAACAGGCCACTTTGTGGGCCCGAAATTTAATGGTGGATCCGGGGGCCACTGTGTGTTGGATCTGCCTCCCATGGAAGAAAGAGGGGTTTTGGCCTGGCCACAACACGGTGGCAGGGACCCCTTGCTCCCAGCATCGAAGAAGATGGAAGACATGGGCCAGTGCTCAGGCTCTGTCTTCTTGCTCTCCAGCTGCTGCCGGTACTTGTCTAGGAGGAAGGGGCTGTGAGAGGCACTGGGGGCCAGCGGCTGGAAGATGCTGGTCATGGCACTGAAGCAGTGCTGGGGGGTGGGCTGCGGGCTCTCAGGCAAGTGCGGCTCCTCTGGGCAGATGGGGCTTAGCTGGAAGTCTTCTCCATCCATGGGGATGTAGGGTGCCAGAGTCTCCAAGTCCAGCTCGTTGAAGTCGGTCTGAGAAGAGGCAGAGTAAGGGCAAGAAGGCTGAGTAGGTTGGTGTCCCTGCCAGGTCTCAGCCAGAGCCACACTTCTTAAGCACAGCTTCCAGTGTCACTCCTGCTCAAACACCTCTAATGGATCCCTGTGGCCTCCAGGAAACACTCAGACTTGATCATTTAGCAAGCAAGGTCTTCTGTCAGAGGACCTGGCCTTTCCATGCTTGTCCTGCTTTACCCTGCACTGTGAGTCTCTTCTTTCCACCAGTGTCACTTCTATACCCAAACTGAAATTACTTCGTTTCTTCATTTCACTTGTCTAGACCACCCAGCCTCTTCTACAAATCTGCCCACCCTCTCCAGCTGCAGTAGCTGCCCCTTTTTGGCTATCCTGCAACACGCTGACCTGCACTTCCCACTGTGAATGTGGGCAGGGGACACGGGACCCACACAGGCTTACACATGCAGTAGTAGCCAGGGCGCATATACAGACTCTAGTAGAGTACCTAGTAGGCTCTGGTGGCAGAACAACTTCCTTGCATTCCAAGAAGTAGATATGGGTTCCCTGTGTCACAGTGGACAGCAGAGGGAAGATGCAGGAGGAGAAACAGGATATGGACAGAATGACAGGCACTGACTGGCATAATATAGTTTTAAAATACAGCTTCATGGGACAGGTAAGGCTTTGTGCAGGTAGGATAAAGGCACAGGCTGAGGGACAAAGTGGGACTGGGGTTCTATTAAACACATACCCACCCATCCACTTCATCCATTTATATCTTTTGTACAAGAACATGTAGTTTTTTTGGAATAGCTACATTCATAAGAACCTGCATATAAATAGAATTTGTCAATCATGTCTTTTTTTGGGGGGGGGGAACTGGAGGCTTAAATTCAGGATCTGGGTGCTATCCCTTAGCCTGAACTTTGGGCTTGGGTGCCATTCCAAGGCTAATGTTCTACTACCTGAGCCATACCTCTATTTTCTGGTTAATTCAAGATAAGAGTCTCATGAACTTTTCTGACCAGGCTGCTTTGAACACAATCCTCAGATCTCAGCCTCCCGAGTAGCTAGGATTACAAAGTGTGAGTCCACCGGCACCCAGCTCAATCATGTCATTTTAAAATACATTTAAAATAAAACATTTTTAGAAAACTCTAAACAAACAGTTTGTGACAGGAGGGACCCTGAAGTTCAGGAATGTTTTATGACTTTGGACATGCTTTCTAAGAGGAGAGCTTGCCTAAAAGAACACTTCTGTGGTGTAGTTTTGGTTTACTCATTGGAGGCTGTCATCCACAAAAGGAGATGAACAGTTGAAAATTAAACACTGAGGTGCTAGATTAACATAGTTAAGAAAAGGATGGGAGAAACACAACAGAAGACCTCCCCCCCCCCACCAGTTCTCTTTTCCCTAAGGATCTCTGTGGGAAAGATTATGGCCAGCAGGTCCCAATGTGTCCCCTTAGGCTGCTGCATAGTTACCAACCTGTGTGTTACACTGGTCCTTTGCTTCAGTGTCCAAGGCAAAGAGCTTTTCGATCACCTCAATCTTCAGGTCATCCTGCAGGGATGTGTAATAGTCTTCAGGGCTGCTGGGCTGGGAACCAGGAAGGAGAACACTGAGTCAGACATAGTATTCGTGTTCCCAGAACAGTGCACAAAGAGAAACATGTTCCTGGACCCACTTATTTCCATTCCACCAAATATTTATAGAAGGGCTATTATTTATGAGCTGTGTGACTTAAGCCTACTTCTCAGTGTCTCTGAACTTCAGCCTCTTCATCATAAAAATGAGGCTTCTTTCACTTCCCAGGGTATCTTGAAGAGCAGACAGGATAAAGACTATGTTTGCTGGGGCTTTGCAGCTGTAGCACTAAGCTCTGCACAGGTACCCAGTTAGTTGCTTCTAGCTCTTTCAGACTTTCCCACTTGGACTGGGGTGGTAAGGATATATCAAAAGCCAATGAACACCTCTGATTCCTGGTAAGCGAGTGTCCCGGCTCTGTGGTAACTTAGGAAGGAGAGCAGCACCCTTTTACTCAGGAAAAGCCCACCCTCCCCCACATCCTTGCCCAGAAGGTGGAGGCTCACCGTGGAGCAGCTGCTGTTGCTGCTTGTGGCACTGGGGGTGCTGCTCCCCGGGGCAGTCACCTGGGGCACAGTGAAGGAGGGCAGGCTTCCAGCCTCACTCTGGACACTGTGGTTCCTCAACTCTGCAGTCCACGGCTGGCCTGGGGGCAGGACAGCCTTGCCATAGGCTGAGGACTCTTCAAAGCTCTGGTTTCCTGTGGAAATATTCCTGATGAATATCAATGACCAGAAGGTTAGATGAAGCCCACAAGATGCACGAAGGGTTCTAAGAGAGCCAAAAGCAGGTCTGGGGCTTAGCTAGGACAAAGAGCCTAGAGCTGGGTATATGAGTCAATGGACTGACTCCCTAGGAAGCAAGGATGTCCCAAGAACATTTGATTTTGAGACTACACTTCTTAGGAGCTGCCCTTCCCTAGAGAGAACAAGGAAACAAAACAGATGGATCATCTGACTTAATACTACACCAAAATGGGGCTGAAAGATGTCTTGTGCCAGGACCTATTGCCCTTAACAGTTCTCTGAATTTTGAGTTTCACATGGGGCAGGTGCAGGGGCAGGGTGGGTTGTTCTAGCAGGGACAGGAGAGGGCAGCATCTGGAGGAGGAGGCTTCTCAGATTCACTTCAAGGATATCTCCAGGATGAGAGCAGGGGAAGGGCTAAGAGGTCTGCAGGGACCACAGTGGCACCACCCAGAGAGATCCATTCATGCTCTCATGAAGTCAGGCATTTGAGGGCTTAGCCCTGGGTCTACTTCCGTTTTCCATCCCCGTATCTGGAACTTTCCCTCCCTTTATTCTATCTTATCCCTCTGCCTGAGTAGGCAGGCTGTTTTTCAAGACCTCTTTGGGGAAGAAAGGGGAAAAATCTGCCCTCGCTCAGGGACAGCAACATTCATACAGCCTCAAAGCAGACCTCTCCCTTCTCCCTCCCTCAGCTCAGACTCTCATGTCTCAAGAACAGAACCCTCAGGAAGTAGTCCCTATGATGGTTTCCTTTGGTGCTTCATGAGATCATATTAGGAAGGTCTAACTCAGTGGCTAGGGCATATGGTTCTTTTATGCCCAGCAGAGGGATAGCCAAATGGTTAGCAAGATGTGGAGAAAGGCCAGATAAACTCTGGTTTAGGGAGAAATAGGGCTGAACACCAAGAGGTTCCATGGGCCTAATGAAGCCAAGAAGCACTGACCAAAATCCAGAGAGATGATGGCATCCCCAGGGGTAGGGGCCAGCTGGGCCAGCTCCTCAGGCTCCTCCTTCAGCTTGGTGAACAGGAAGTTACTCTTCTCAGACACAGCCACATCACCACTATTGTCAAAGATGTTGTTCATGGCCATCAGGTGGGGCTTGAACAAGGACTCAGTCTGATCCATGGAGAACACCACATCGTTCTTCTCAATCTCACTAATGGGATGAGAGAGCTGTTTAGACCTATGAAGATTTCTAGAAAAATCCTTCAGTTCTCCCTAGCCACATAGAAACCCTGACAGCCAAGCCACTCTGACCAAAAGATGGGCAGAGCCACTATGTTGGCATCTTGTAAACAGTCACACAAGGCTAAGACAGGATTACTATACATGGAGATTTTTTTTAAAAAAGCAGACTCTTTGGAACTGCATTGAGAATGGGGTACATATGAGGCCTGGCTGCTTTTGCCTCTGTGTGTTTCACCTTGGCAATCAATGTCTCTGATGATCTGAAGATAAGAGAGTATGAGCAATTCTCTCACCTAAATCCTCAATTCAGACAATATTAAGTATCTACTGTGTGATACCTGTGTCCTCACCTGGGTTAGAGAAACGGCACAGTGACAAATAAAGGAGAAAGGACAGAAAGACTCCCAAGAATACCACTTTTCCCAAGATCTCCATGTAAAGTCCTCTCAGTCAGAAGGATCTGAACTGTAGACAGCTCCAGGATACATTGTCCAGGGTTCTGAGAGGTTTGGTTGTTCCCTGGGACAATGGTTCTCAGGCCATAGGGTCTGCCAACCATTCCCCAGACACTCACCTCAGGACGTAATTGACACACATGATGCACTGGGGCTGCAGGTTTCTAGGGTTGTAGATGACAGTCCCCTGGGTTTCCAGCCACACGTAGCCTCCATGCTTTGCGAGCATCCGGTACTGGCCACTCACCACCTGTCCCTTGGTGCACACTAAAGGAGGAGAAATGGGGTCCAAGATCAGAGAGGTAGGGGAAGTATGCACAATGGGTACAGAGACCCTACTGGCAGAGTAGTCTGCAAGTGCATGAACAGATCATGAATGGGACCAGGGAAAACAATCTGAGAGGGAGCTTCAAGTCCATCTCAACCAACTCTTCATTTTAAACAAAGCAAAAGGAAGTTACCAGAGGATTCACAACTTGACAGTGGATGATCAGTGAAGGAGCAACCCACCCATTCTAAAGTTTTGCAGCTGCCTCTCACAGCATTCATCAACTCAGTTTCCCAGCCCAGAGCAGCTGTCATCAGAACAGAGAGCAGCACCTGCCCCTGTCCCCACAGGGTTCACATAGAGGACGCCCCTGACCTGTGCCAGGTGGTCATGGTTTGCCAGCAGCTTGGAGAAAGCCTCACCTCAATGTGTCCTGGTGCTCGTAAACAGAAACAGGCTCATTTGCTTTTAAAATTACTCTCTTTCACTTTTATCCAGCTCATCTCTTAGGCCTGCCATCTTTGGAGTCAGATCAGGGGAGGATGGACACAGGCAGCTTCACTCTCCAGCTGGAGACCTTTATACTTCCCCCAGATGCCCAGCAAGGCTGTCTGGCTATGCCTTTTTCGTTTCTTTCTTACCTTCCTTCCTACCTCCCTTCCTCTTTTTTCTTTTTTCCTTCCTTTCTTTTTCCTTCTCTCCTCTTCTTCCTCCTCCTTTTCCTCCTCTTCCTCCTTTTCCTTCCTGTTCATTTAGCATGTGTTTTTGCTGTCTACAATCACTGTGGCAGGTCCCATATCCCAGACTATCTTATTCTGCAATACAGAATGCTCCCTTTGCTTTCATGAAAAAGGAATTGATAAATCCTTTTACATGAAATCAAGTCATGTTAGAATTTCTGGTAGCTCTCAGAACTGCCCATTTATGTTCATTTCTTGGGATTTTGTTCTTCAGATACCCAGCTCAGATGCCTCTCTCAGTCATCGAGAACTGGGGAGAGGCATGATGGCAGGGTTAAGAAAACTAGCCTGGGGATTTTGAGGTGGGTACAATCCTTGGTTGGATATCTTTCTCTGCAAAACGGGGTATTCATAATAGAAGTCACAACAATAACTGTCATGGTATCCAGGGCACAACTGCTGCTTGTACTGAGGATCAAATATACTTTCCTGGATGACTGACAATAATGTATAATGTTAATATGTATAGTGCATAGTCCATCACAGATTTTATATATTTGTATATGTGACTAGGTGCTCCATGGGAGAATATCCAGATTCTCTGTAAATATAGTTTCTCCAGTTCTCCTGGTAAGGTCCCAGGCTACCTCCCTATTCACCAGCTCTGTATGGTAGAGGATGCAGTTTGCTTTATATTAATGAAGACTGCAAACCTTTATATTTATGTGTGTATGTGTACTCATGTGTACACCAGTACTGAGGCTTGAATTCAGGGCCTTGCCTCACATTCTCACTCAGCTTTTGTCTTCTCTGCTCTCCTTCTCTCAGTGCCACTGACCCTCACCTGCTGAAATACTATGATTCTTGCATAATTTCAAGTGCCTGGAGTTAACTTGTTTAGATGGTTCCTGATGCAAACCAAATTCAAGGCTCTTATTCTTTTTGATTAAACAATTTAGCAAGCAAAGTTTTAACTGCATTTCTAGTAATTGCGGGCAAGGCCTGGTCTGTCACTACAATATAATTCACACCAGCATTCTAATCATCTGCTCATTAATACCAGCCTTGGTGAGGGCCTGCTATTTGCTAGGGAGATAGGCTTTTTATGGCCTTTAATCTTGTTTCCTTAAGAGCACATAATGTCTTCATACAACAAAGAGAAGCCACTGCCAGCCCTCCTCTGAGACTAACAATGTCTGAATTATTAATCCATTTGTAAATAATAGCTTTCAATTATCTAAACCTGTCTGAGGACTGAGCTTCTGCAGCCATTTCAATGGGAAACATGTTCAGGTTGAGATACAACATATAGACACAGGTACATGTGAGACACCAGTATGTAAACCTAGGCCACTCTCCAACTTGAGCTTCCAGTGAGCCACAGAAGGAGTGAATCTGTATTGCAGCTTTATCCACAGAAACCCAAAGACAAATGAGGGAGGGGGAGAGAGAAAAGAGAAGGGCAAGAAGGAGAGGGAGAAAGGGAGGGAGGAAATGAGTAAGAAAGGGAAAGAAGGGAAGCAGGAAGGGAGGGAGGGAAAGAGAAAAAGGAAGAGGGGGAGGAGGGAGAAGGAGGGGGAAAAGAGAGAGGAGGGACAGATTGATGGAGAGGGAGAGAAAAGGGAGAGGAAGAGTGAGGGACTCTCTCATAGTCTCTCTCTCTGGGGAGACTGTCTGCTGTTGTAAGTGACATTAGCTATATTTCCAACACCCGCAGATTTTGCTTTGCTAGATGTAGGTCCTGCTGGTTGAGCACAAGGTTCTGAGCTCAGGGCAGCTTAACTTGGCTCCATTGTTGGAAGAAGGGAACCTTGATTTCAATCTGGGCTATGAATTACCCATAGGTGTGCCTAGTGCTTAAATACAGATCCAGTACAAACAAATGCAGCAGATCCCCTGCTCCCCTCGAGTTAGCAGAAAACTGATAGGACAATTTTTTTTTATTGTGAAAATACTGTAGAGGCGTTACAATCACAAGGGCAAGATAATGAGTACATTTCTTATCAAGCATTGTAGTCTCCTCCTTTGTTTCCCCTTCCCATCTCATCCTTCCCCCACCCCACCCCCACCCAACCCTCCTCCTACCAAAGTTGTAAAGTTGATATGACAAATTTTTGTCTTAGCTCCTTTGATATTAAGTAAGTTACAAGTAGGGGAACAATGCTTTCTTTATGCCTGGCGGAAGTCATCCCTGTTCCCTCCACAGCAGATTCTTCTACACCTCTTTTGCCTCAGAAGATAAAGCACAATGCTGTCCTCCAAACATTCCCAGAAACTTTCTACATTTGTCCATTTGGCTTCCCTCCACCACCCTCTGCCCCGCCCAGGCTTGGAAGGCTGGCTATTCCCTTAGTTTTGCATTGAAAGGCAAAGAAATCCAGAGAGTTAGGTGCTGGAGAATCAGCAGGTTAACTAGGCCCACTAAGCCCAGTGCCTGCCTGTTAGCCTAACTTGGGAACAAGGACTCTCAGAGGCCACAAAAGCATAGGGAATCCAAAGGGAAGGGAGAAGCCACATTCTTCAATCTCTAAGCTTACATTTGTGTTCATAGAGCACCTCATCCTTTGTCTCTTTATTCAGGCTGGATCCAGATTATTATTTTTTTCATTTATTTATTTTTTATTTTGTCAGAGGGCACACTGGGAAACTTCTCTGATATATCATAATAGTCCCTCTCATACTGTCAGATCAGATGAAACTCAAGTCATAAGGAAGAAACAGACAGGGCAATGAGAAAGAGACCTCATTCCCTAAGAAAATGAACTGTGCTGGCACACAGTTTATATTGTTGCCACAGTATGTTAGCTTCTCTGAGCTCCAACTGCTCTGACTGCAGGACTCAGGGCTGGATTTCCAAACAGTGGACAAATTGCTATGTTTTCACTTCCTCTATTGCCAAGAGGGATACTGGGGATCTGCTCAGATTTTACCCATTTTTAATTTTACCCATTGTTTTAGTACTCTTATATTCTCCTTAGCACCATGGGGTGTGTTTGGAAGATCATTTCCCAAGTATCATTTTTTGGTTGTGGGCTTATATTTAGTGCTTGTACTAAATGAGACACTGTGAGAAACACTGAGGTTAAAGGTCTGAACAACCTAGTTTCTAAGGAGCTCACAGTCTTATTTTATCACAGAAACAAGATTCCTTAGGATAGAGATTATTCTGCTGAGGACATGGCTTAAGTGGTAGAGTGCCGCTAGTCTCTGAGTTTGAACACCAGAACTACAAAAACAAAAACCTTTTTTATTTCCCAGTGGACTGAGTAGAGGGTTATAAGCCCACACAGTCCTTGCCTGGTTATAGGTTGTAAGGATTTGAGGAAATCATCCTGGATCACCTAAAGTCAGAAAGCCTAAAAGGGGAAGCTGGCCAAGTAAATCCTAGAACTGCCTTGTCCAATATGGTGGCCCCAGATCAGGTGTGTCTGATTAAATTATTTTAAACTTTAAAAGTTGAATTGTTCTGCTCAACAGGTATTTTTTAGGATATGTTTTAAATTTATTTTTCACCAGCTATATTTCAAGTACTGTAAAGACTACATGTGTCTTGTACAGATGTACAGCATTACTATTGTAGTAAGTCCTAGAATCCTTTAATCTTCTAAGCTATAGAATAGAGTTCCTATAGGCCAACACTTTGCTGTTTCAACAGCCTCCCCAAGTGAAATTTTTTCTTTAGACATAAAGCCCAGACTGACCTGCAACTCAAGATCTGCCCTCAGTCTCTCAAGTTCTAAGATTACAGGCATGTGACCCCTAACCTGGGCTTCCTCCTCTAAAGTTACACTGATGTAGCAAGCAAGCTCCAATAGAACTATGCCTGTCTGAACACCTATGTTTAGTTGGTTCCAGACTACCTTCTCCTTTGTTTTGTCTCATTTTTCACTGTCCAATTCAATTGTCTTTTGTTCTTTCCTTAACTCCCTCAGGCCTTCTCTTCTATGCACAGATGGACTCGCAAGTATAACTCAGATCCACATTGTTGCCATGTATTATTGTTGCCACATATTATTCTCCACAGGATTGTCCCAGAGGACAGTATAGATTGTTGGCTATACAAGAGGGCTTAGGAGAGGTAGACTGTGGGACTGAGATACTGCCCAGCCTATTGTCTCCAAACTGGACCTAGTGGAAGGGTTGTTTTCTTAATTGGTCTGGAAGGTTGGTGGCAGCTTTGGTTCTCTATCTTGAAAGCCTGTTTTAGCTACCACCTGAGATGGTTGCTCTGAACTAGAGGGGTAGGCCCCATCTATAATCCTGGTTTGACACCAATCCAGGCAGAAAGGGTACCCTTTTTGGTACCCTCCCCCATAAAAATATGGTGGCAATCTGGTATAGCCTTCCACGGGAGGCTAGATTTCATGAAAATGAAGATGCCCATGAGATACTTCTGGAACTTACAGTTCTGGTGGCTTTTGGTCATGTTCTCTGAGTCCAGTGCATGGTAGAACTCATAGGCTGAGCGGCCAAGTAGCTCCTCAGGGTGGTAACCAATCAGTTCTGTGATTCTGAATTTAAAAAAAAAACCATGTCACACGAAGAGAAATGAACACAGGAACTTGAAGAAATTAAACCCAGAAAAGAAATAAATTTATAACACTCAAATTAACACAATCTAGACCTCTTGACCACACCATTTACTCAGTCTGCAAACAATTTGGATCCACCTCAATTGCCATGGTCCCTTCCCCGACCCCTACCCTACTGAACGCACATGCTTGCTCTCCTAGAACCACTACAAGGGGTTCACACAGCCCAAACCAAATGCCTGTAGCTGTGTAGACACACAAGTGCCTAGGAGCAGAACAAGAGAAAAAACCTAGGCCTCTTCATTATTAGTTCAAACTCATTCTACAAGACAGTGGTACCCAGCAAGAAGTGGCAATTCTATGGCTCAAATGAAGAGACAGTAGAGTGAGAAGGAGCCCAGTAGTGTAAGCCATCTATGCTAAAGCTTTGCTTCCTGGATGCTTCTTCTCAGGTTGCCATCATGAGTTCATGACTTCAGGTGCCCTCAGATATTACATGTGTCTTCCATGGCAGTTTTTACTCATTCGTCCCCATCTCAGAAAAGAAGGGAGAGTAGGGGATACTTAGGGAGAAACATCACAGTCTTCTTTGGTACACAGGAAGCTATGCCAGGATAGGACAAGGCTATCCTGATTGCCACTGACTTTGTTTGGTAAAGATGGCTAGTTTGGACGAGAAGTAGGCAGGGAAAAGGCAAGTGTGGAGAGCCAGGAAGAACACCCAATTCCTTAGGACCTTTGCTCTGTGATGGATGCATTGGAACAAACAAACCCTGCTTAAGAACCACCACAGTGACATTACTCCACATCAGACCTAATGTTATTCTTCATTATCTCTGCCATCATCTTCATGAGTTTATTGTCTTCTTTACTTACTCTATCTCAAGTTAGAATGGACACTGGAGGCTCATTATTACAGCATATGCCTCTTGCTGTGCCCATGCTGGGCAGGTGCAGAAAGCAGAAACACTAGCTGCTTGGCTTATTCTCTCTACTCTTAAATCTCCTCTAAATGGAATAACTTTGTACACAATTGTCAGACTATGCCCTCAAAAAGTACTGCCTCCATCCTGCCACAGCCCTGGCTCAGTATTGACAGTCAGCTAACCACAATCAAGGGCTAATTGCCCAGTTTCCCTCCAGAAACCAAGTCTCTATTTCCAGGCAATCTGATCTTGAGCTAACCTACAACATGTCACACATCCTCTTCCCTGGTACCCAATCCATATACCTCCTTGCTTTACACCAAACTCACTCCTACAGCCAGGCCCCCCAGCCTCCCAGCTCCTCAAAGCTCTAACTCTTGTAGAGCTAGCTTGAAGTCTCATTTTCCACAAACCCTCTTCGATTCCTTCCGCCTTCACTACTGCCTCGCTAATGAAATCCCAAAGGGCATGCAGTGTTACAAATGAAGACGCGTTTGTCTTCTCACATCCTAGGCTGTCAGCCCTTGAACTCAGGGCTTCACTTTTGCCTATTCTATAATTGGAGCTTAGAGTATCTGAGCAGTAGATTTTTCTGGATCTCAAGTTAAACTAGAGACCTATCTATCTCAGCACTACCAAGGAACCTGAATGCTAATGATCTACTTTTCTTCCTTGAGTATACTTGCCAAATTGCATTCTGTGTGTGTTCATACACACACATATAACCTCCATCAACCCATAATCCTCAATCCAGCCTTTCTCAAGTCTATATATTGTACCATAGCAGCAAAGAAGAGGTGAGGTTCCTACCTGTTTGAGACTCTGGAGTTTAAAGCCTGGGTCAAAGCCAGGAGGCTTATGTCTTTGCTGATTCAGCCCTAGGGAGATTTTTTTTCAGCAAAAAGCTAGTAGCCACTTGTATCAGCCAGTTGGTATCATAGTGGGAGGATTTTCCCCTTCACTTGTCCCTGAACTCATTGGCCATGAACCTATTCCCTGTAGCACGACACTGAGGTCAGCACCTAATAGTGCCTTAGCTGAGGTTCAGTTTGGCAGAGAAGAAGGTGACAGAACAGGGTTGGCCCTGTACCATATCATATCATTTTTCTGTGGGTCAAACACATTTCAATCTTAGCCTGGGCATCAGAACTGTACCAGTGGCTCTGTTAACAAGTTGGCCATTTTCAGGCTCACTGCTTTGATAGATAAACTTGCTTTCACTTCTGGGCAGGCCAAGAATTTTCTAGAGACTCTCAATAATGCATCTACAGGCATTCTAGGAAAGATATGATTGTATTTCCTGAAGGAATTAAATTTCCTTTCAAGATTAGGATCTTTAAATGAAAATGTTACAAGTAAATATTATAATCAGCCTCATAATAAGATTTTTTTAATCTAATTAATGTATCATCTGTTCAAAGGCACACAATGGACATGTTTTGGAAGTGGACAAACAAACATAGATTTTGGAATTGCTAGATATCTTCCACTAGCAGCTTTCATTTATCTTGTCAACTAATATAAATATTTAATGTCTCCTTCATTCCTTTAAACAGACTACCATAAAAACTGGGAAATACACATAACCCAAACACAATTGAAGAACATTTGAGTTGTCAAACTTCACAAAGCCAGGAAACCCCATCTTAAAGCTAATGGTCACTGGCCTCTATCTGCAGGCATGCTGACGCCGGCAGGGAGGTTAATGAACCACACTTGTTTATAGGGTCAGCTACTATAGCACACAGGGTCTTCCCTACTCCCTTCCCCAAGCTCTGGACCAGCCAACAGAGTTGATAAGAGTTGCCTCCTTTTCATCCATCAGGGAGCGGGGAGAGAAACCATTTCTTTCTTTCTAATTAAGGATCCTTGACTCAGTGGGGGAAAAACAATCAGAATCACCTATAAATTTAAAGTTCAACTTGGTAGGGCTCTTCTGTTTTAAAGGAGAGAGAAACTTTGTAAAAGAAACCTAATTTACCCAATTTCAAAAGGGAGGACAACAGAGGATATCCTATGAGAATAAAGTAGAAAAAGCAGTAGGTCCAAGACAAAGTGCGAAGATATAGAGGCAGCTACACAGAAGTAGATGTTGAAGGAAAAGAGAAAGTAGAAAACCTAGGGGGAAAACGGCTTGTTAAGTTTTGAAGTTAGTGTTTTCCCAAGCAAGTGTGTAGGCCAGGTCTCTGACTTTGGACTTCAGAGTGAGATGTGCCTGTGAAATGTGAATAGAGTTATTCATTGCCCTTAATTGCTCATTATTTTAATGCCTAGAATCTGTTCAAAAGCCACTATCTAGAGTTAAAGGCTGTCCCTTCAAGAGGCAGGAGAAAGCAGTCCCATTCCTATGATGGTTTGTTCTTTTTTTGTTTTTTTTGGAGGGGGGGTGGTCTGGTCGTGGGGCCTGAACTCTGGGCCTGGGCGCTGTCCCTCAGCTCTTCAGCTCAAGGCTAACGCTCTACCACTTGAGCCACAGCGCCACTTCCGGCTTTTTCCTTTTTGCTTATGTGGTGCTGAGGAATTGAACCCAGGGCCTCATGCATGCAAGGCAAGCGTTCTACCACTGAGCCATCTTCCCAGCCCCTGGTTTGTTCTTCTCACCATGGGCTGCCATAGGATGTGCCAGTGTGACTTCATACTCTACTTTCTCAGGACAAGGAATGTCTGAATGCAGATTCTACCTCTATTTTCTACAAGAGTATCATATCTGCTAAGTAAATTAATCATGTAAGTATGATGATTAAAGAACATTTAAGCCTGGCACCTGTAATCCTAGCTACTTTGGAGGCTGAGATATGAAGTCGTGGTTCAAAGCCAGCCTGTGGAGGAAAGTCTGTGAGATTCTTATCTCCAATAAACTTGGGGAAGTGGTACTGTGGCTCAAGTGGTAGAGTGCTAGCCTTGAGCTGAAGAGCTGAGGGGTAGCACCCAGGCCCAGAGTTTAAGCCCCATGACTAACAACAACAACAAAAAGAACATTTAAATTATTTATGGGGAGGCAGAGGTTTGCAAGGTTTGATTTTCTGTTTTCTTTTGTTTTTGTGCGAGTCCTGGGGCTTAATCTCAGGGTCTGAGTGCTGTCCTTGAGCTTTTTTTAAACTCAAGGCTAGCAATCTACCACTTGAGCCATTTTCAGCTTTTTGGTGATTAATTAAAGAGTCTCATTGACTTTCCTTTCCTGGACTGGCTTTGAACCTAGATCCTCAGATCTCAGCAAGAATTCAAGTTTTAAGAAGTTTGTTAGCATTTACTTGTTTTCTAAAAAGTAAAACTTATACTAAAGTCATCTCTTTCCTTCAACCCTTCTGGCAATTCTTGATTCACGAATACTGGTTCCTAAACATGCTAATAAGCTTTGACTTCTCATTTCCTTAAATATATATTATATAGACAGTTCATAAACTCAGATTCCAATACCTTGTTGTTTTTAGTTTATTCAGGTTTTACTTATTGAAAATACAGTCTTATGTCTTGGATTTTCTGCAAATATGACCCAGTTTTGGAGACCTATTCAACTAGCTTTGCCTATCATTATCCAAAACCTGTATCAGTAAGAGAAAATGTGCCTGAGCTATAGTAAGGGTGAAGCAGATCACATAGAACAGTTTTTGAATTGTGAAGTCTATTAAACTTTGAAATAAGTTCCAAAGAGAATGGACATGGTAAAAAACATTTTGGAGGGAATTTTTTGAGCACTGCAAACAAGACAAGAGAACACATGAGCATTTCCCACATACTCAGATATTGTTGGGGTGATTTCCAGAAAGTAGAAGGAAGTGATCAGCACATTAAAGTTCCTCCTTACTCAAGGATATAAAGAAACACTATCTTTTCTCTTAATTAGGATGTATAGAAAAAGGCTAATATAGGTCAGGAAAAATATTTAGAATAGGCTATATACACAAAGAACATGTATGTATTTCTGTCCTCCTGAAAGACTGCAAGTTTAAAGATGGCATCCCTCCAATAAAAAGATGAAAAAAATAACTTACTAAATTTGCTTACTATACAATAAAGAGTACAGTATTTTACTATTTATTTGCTGGAAATCAG